AGCATTTCTATTAATCCATTTTAATTAGGATTATGGAACACAATCGCTTCCATATGTTTGTGCCGGGGCACCGGATCTTTGGGGTGAACCCGCCTTTGCCGTAATGTGTTTTGGGGTTTGAAAGCCACTGGGACATCATGTTTAGAAAATAAACGTCTCAGTTAACAATAGGTGTTAATTAGATGTCAACGATAGCCATGTGATGTGAGTATCAGTCACATGGAAGCAGTGCTTAAAAGCCTGAATTTTGCCTGAAACTCTCAGACTGAAGAAGTCTTTTGGAGGAGAGACGAAACGTTTCATTAGAGAAGAACCCGTCCAGAAGACCTATACAATTTTTTTATTTTTTTTTTTTTTTATTAAAACATGAAATTCAGCAAACAGAGTCCTTGCAAACCCGTTATGTTGAACAGGCTGCACAAACTTAACAAGTCTGTTTCAGACTTTTCTGCACTGTTGCATGGTGACTCGGTGATTTGGTATGCGGCTGGCTACCTTTGTGTGGCTTCGGCCCACATCAGATAAAACACTTAAACAATTACTGTCTTATCTGCTGTGGTGGGAGAAGAGCTTGTGGCCTCATTATGACCAGATTAGACAGAGAATCAGTGATTCACTCACTCTTCACTTCTTATTGTCAGCCCATCGGGCCCTCAGGTAACTCTAACCACATTACAGACTTCACAGAGAAAGAGCCGATGACAGCTGGACATAAGCAGCGTTGGCGTCCAGGGTTTGGAATCAATGAGAGTCTTTGTGTTGTTTCTAAGAAAAAAAAAATAATAAATGTTATAGGTTCAGTTAAAAATATAATTATCACAACAATGTGTACTTTTCATAAATTAAATCAGTATTAAAAAGAACTTTCAATGTCACTACAATATGTCAGTAACTCCTGGAAAACTTCTGTGTTTTTTTAGGTTAATGTTAATAACTCTTGCTTATTTTAGCAGTTTTAAAACATATATCAGTTCTTTGAGCAATGACAGACTGTTACTGATAGTTGCATACCATTACATATCAAAAAATAAAATATTTTACCTGTATAAAAAGAACATAAAACAAAGTGCTTTCAGAGAGTTGTATTAAAGCAAAACCAAAAGTTTTGACTTTCCACATCTGAGGAACTTGATTATGATGTGACTTAGAGATGTTTTAAAGTGTTGTTGGTTATTGTCAACTAAATACACTCAAATATATTTTCAAATACTTTTTTTGTTCCTTTATTCGTTCCATTTCTTTTTTAGAAAAATAAAAATGCTCAAAAGTGGGAGCTGTTTTTGGAAAGTGCACAGAAGTCTTCCAGCTTCCTGTCTCCTCCTCTTTCTGTCTGTGCCACTCTCTTTCATGTGACGACGATGTAAGAAGGAGCTCAGAAACTGAACAATGGTGTTTGAAAGAATTATGAAATCTTAATGCATTCTTTGTACTGTCAAAAACACCACAATCCCTCCCTGAGTCTGTCTCTCAAACAGCTTTTTACTCTGTGTGTTTTTTTGGCCTGTTTTTCGACTCACTGCACCCATCTCTGCCTCAGATCTGACTGTCCGCGTTACAAGCAGCTCTGCTCAAGCGTGGCCTTATGGTGTTTTCCTTGCAGTCAGTGCCAGACATACATTAGTGTTATGATTAGTTTTCTGTATGTCCTCTGACAGCTGGTGAAAGGCTCTTCTGCATTATTATTTATCGAGTCATTAAGCAGGAAGCTTTAGCATTTAGCATTACTGCAAAGTGTTTATGTAGAGTATATGTAAAGAACAACAGCATATATATATATAAATGTATGACAAATACATTGAAAAATGTAAAAAGTAGCTTACTTGGAGAAATGCATATCACCTGCCTCCTGCATGTTAGCACTTGTAATACGTATTGAGGATGACTCTCAGCTACTAGCACACATTTTAGCTTGGTGTCTGTGACATGACTGATGTACAGTTATTTTGCTAATGTTGCTTAGCTTTAGCATCCATCTTAAATCGGAGTTACCTGGAAAGGTAATCAGTTGTAGTGTATGACCAGTTCTGAGAGTTTCATTTAAATCTGTCCAGGTGTTCAGGAGTTATTTAGCTAACAAACAGAGTTGAGTCCATAAGCRCACAGACAGTTACATGATCCCCTGCTTCCATGAAAGGCAGATGTAACTAAATTTGCTGCCTCATCTGTACCTTAACTGCTAATTCTTGAATAATAAAGTGCGACAAGACAGGTTTAACATCATAGTTCCAGTTTTTGGACAAAATAAAAATAAGCATGTAGTTGCTTGTACGTCTGCATCCATTGTCATGATGAACTTGTCCATGCTGGCATTTATCTCTGTGCACTCAACACAATGAGTCATAGAGATGCCAGCAAAAATGTAAAATCTCAAATGCTTTGCCATATGGTGCATCAAGCTTAAAGTAATGGTTTGTAGGGGAAAAAAGAACAATAATTTCAACATGACTTTTTAAATCTAAAACAGAATGGAAAAGTCAGCAATCAAGCCTTTATTTCACTCAAAGAACGTGCAGAATCTGACAAATATGATCTGATTTGTTTCCCCTCCCTCCTTCTTACAGACCATGCTGACTGCCATCTCGATGAGTGCCATCGCTACCAATGGAGTAGTGCCAGGTGGGTGAGCAGACGCTGGTGCTGCACAGTCATCACTGTTTGACGCTGTACACTTCTAAAATTTTCCTCTCACTGATTGCTTTTGGCACATCACTCTCAGCGCAGCTTGATATAACCAGAAACATTAAGAGCTTCAGTCTAGGGGGGGTTGTGAACTCTAACTCTGTCGTCACGCATTATTTACACAAAATAAACCATCAGCCAAATGCCACGCATTGAAATCAGAATTTGTACACATGTATTTCTTGGTAACGTAAACATTCGGTGTAGCTATGTTTGGTTATGTGGGTTACATAGTAATGATGGTCTGCGTCTTAGCAGTTGCTGCGCTTACTTCAGGGGTCAGAGGAAATTACAGGCTTGTAGAGGAGCACGCATCTGCAATTATAACTGTCTGCATTATAGCTGGTAGCAGCCTTGATGCTGCCGCAAAGGGCTGATTAAGGTCTAATTATTTATGCTCAATTAATTAATTTACAACATGGCGCCACACAAATACAAAAAGTACTGTGCCCAGAAAAAAAACAATGCTTGTACCAGAATACCAGAGTTATAATTAGTAGCTTACTACTGGAAAACAGTGAAAATGGTTGTGCAATTACACTAATGCTCTAATGTGCTAACTCAACTCTGAAAAAGTTTTCTCAGTGCGCAAAAAAAATTGTATATTTTTGTGTTTTTCTTGGATTCCTGTGTTTGTGTGCAGCCGGGGGCTCCTACTACATGATATCCCGTTCACTGGGTCCTGAATTTGGGGGAGCGGTGGGAATTTGTTTCTACCTGGGAACCACCTACGCTGGAGCCATGTACATCTTAGGAGCCATCGAGCTTCTCCTGGTAAAAACCAAATTCTTCTGTTTCTGCCTTCCATTTTTAGCAATTTCAACATCATTCTCTAGCAACATTGATTTTAAGTATATTGTACAGTATATTGGCAATACATATTAAGATTATTGTACCATGCTGTATTAAACGACTAAATTTTGTGACAACTTTACCAAAAATGTAGCATGAGTCAGAAAACCAAACTGCACAGAAATATTYAAAAACCTAATGTTAATGTTCATTCATTAAGTCTAAATGTATATATTTTTAATAAATGTATTTTTAGATTGGGTTATTATATATATCTGTAGCTGATGCCGGTTTGATTCTCCAGTTCAAACAACAAAAACAGGAATTTTTCCGTTGCAGTGTTCCTATAGCAACCATGATTGCTCGTTAATCTCATCCATGCTTGTCACTTTTTTTTCTGTTGCTCAGCAGCAGGAAGATGATCTCTTCATTTTTAATCCTAAGCACAAATCTCCAAGTGGCTCAAATATTCTAATCAGAGGAGCAACTGTGCATGACCAGAGCAGGTCTGGGAGCAGTATGGACTGGATTTAAAAATTGTAATATTCACCACTTTCAGCATTAAGTACAATATATTTGGCAGAATGTTGTACTCCTTGAATTTATGGCATGAATGTAATCCTTGCAGTTGGTTTTGTACTTGTACTTCTGGTTTATTTCCCCTCTTCCTTTTTCTTTGTTCTCTTTATTGTTCTCCCGGTTTCCTCTAACGGTTATGCAGAGTTTGATCGTGCCTGGAGGTTAACATCGTCTTCTGGGTCAAAGCTGGCTTAGTTTCCATTGTGAGATGACAATCCCCACAGAATAGTGAAGAGCGGAACTGCAAAGGGCTGATTTGAATATGTTTCATCCTTCCACCCAGGCCAAGCACACAAAACTGAAGCTGCTATTTTAGGAAGCACGAACAGTTCACAGTGAGGCAGGAGATTTGTTTGCCTGGTGATACGCTGTTATTAGCACTGGAGCAGCTTCTCCAGCCAAATGTCTGAACTGAGCCACAACTCATGGTAGTTTTACGTGTTTCTGTTGGGGAAAAAAATGCAGTTTGTTTTATATAAAGACAGAAATCCCCATGATTATATAACAGTCTTGCAATGACTCATCTCTATCTGATAACAGACAGTGATGGAATAATTATGGGTTTACTGATTTTTTATATCATGATGTGTCTATTCTTAGATTAAGTAATAGTAGAAGTATATTAATGGCTGTCTATTTTAAATATTAATAGCATTTTAAGTTCCCTAATTAGGATGATTATTATAGTAGCTAGTGTGCTGCTTTAATCTTCAGCATAAAAGTGGTGATGTGACCATGAAGTTTCTCTACAGACGTGTCATGGTTTCAGAGTTGTAAAATAACTAAGTACAAATACTTAGTAGAAATTTTGGTTATCTGTACTTAACTTGAGTAATTATTTTTCAGCGTACTTTTTACTTTTACTCATTACATTTTTACACAATTATCTGTACTTTCTACTCACTACATTTTTTAATTAAAGGTAAGAAGTAGAAAGTCGTTGCTCCTATTTTATTCCGAGTTGTTAATTACTTAAAAAAATACTATCCTGATAAATTGTGTCTCCTGGATAAAGTGAATTTAATTGTGGTTAGATGAGAAGTATAAATATATACCATTCTGACACCCTGTTAGCTTGTACACAACCCATCACAGCTGCACGCCGTTAGAAAAAGTATTTTTTTGGAGAAGTCACCTCACAATAAATGTCATTTTGGAAAATCTAACTTCACTTTTACTCTGTACTTTTACTTAAGTATATTTTGTGTCAGAAATTTACTTTTGATACTTAAGTACAAAAAATATCAGATACTTTAAGACTTTTACTCAAGTAATATTTTTAGAGAAAACTTTAACATTGACCGAAGTATTTTATAAGATACTTGTACTTTTACTCAAGTATCACTTTGAGATACTTTATACAATACTGCATGGTTTGGTAATCTCTAAACAACCAGCTCCACCAAGTCCATGAGAAACAATCAGATTTTTACCTAAGAAATTTATTTTTCTCTAGCTCTTTTATTTAATTTTTTTGTGATAAATAATAACAGCAATTTAACCTTCTGCTTTAGATTTACATCGTCCCCAAAGCTGCCATCTTTCCCCTTGAGGGTTTAGAGGGACCCGAGGCGGAGGCTGCTCTGCTGAATAACATGCGTGTGTACGGGACCATCCTGTTGACCTCCATGGCCACGGTCGTGTTTGTTGGCGTGAAGTACGTCAACAAGCTGGCTCTGGTGTTCCTGGCCTGCGTCATCCTCTCCATCCTGGCTGTTTATGCCGGCGTCATCAAGACCGCCATCGAACCACCCGATTTCCCGTGAGTGGCTGCAGCCGAGACGTCACAGCAGAGGAGTTGGTCCACTGAGCAAAACTATAACTTTAATCAAATTGAAGCAGTAAAAAAAAAACTAATGAGAGGATAAAAGGAAACTAGCAAAACAAAACAGGTGCAACAAATAAACCCTTTTTAATCTTTGCACTCAGCTCAGTAGTTAATTTTTTAGTATTATTTTAACAAACTGCAGCTTTTATTTGCATTAGATTATTTAATGTCCTCCAGGATATTTTTATTTTATTGCTTGCTTCAAACAGCTAAAATTGGATGAGGGGTATTTTTATAATTATGTGAATATCATGCTAGTAGTTTAATTTCTGCATGCAGGTTTAATACGTTTTACACTGAAACTTGCACAGTAAGAAGCTTATGGATACACAGTTGTATATAGTCTAGATCAGGGGTGTCAAACTCATTTTCACCGAGGGCCACATGAGTGTTATGGTGGCCCTCGAAGGGCCACTTGTAATGAACTTTGATATTTCATGTTTAACTTTGACTAAATTGAGTTTTAAAAAGTCCTATTTTAAACACTGATAAGAAGTAAGTGTATGACTGACTAAATCTGAAATAAATATAGAAATATTATTAAAAGTAAAACAAAAAAGTTTTACTCACTGATGAGTTTCTAGTGAGTAGCTGCATAATGGCAGATTTAGTTTATGTTTGATGGTGACTTTAAAGCAGCTTATTTTCAGACATTAACACTGTGCTATCCAACTAAATTCCTCAGTTACTTCAAGCCAACAGCTCAGGGACAGGATACCGTAAATTTAAATTAAAAGTTTAAAGTTTACCATTGATATAAGAAACAAATTTTATGTTGGGTAATTTTTTTAATTTTTTTGGGAGGGAACCCCCCTCYGGCAGGCCACACAGGCCAGCAGGCCTTGTGTTTGACACACGTGGTGTAGATGTTTATTTTTTATTAGATTTTTAGACTAAGTTGACACAAAAAATTGAGATTTCCACAGCATTAGTCATGATTGTTCTTCCTGTCATGAGCCAATTATAAACATCAAATTAAAGTATTCCTTTGCTAACTACTTTCCTTTCATTTTTATTAATCTGAATAATTGAATTTATTGTTACATAAATAATCAAGTTAGTCATAAAAATAGAAGAGGATGATATGTAGTGATTAGATATTGTAATTTCCAAAACATGTTGTTCTTGTCCTTCTTTTAGTGTGTGTGTCTTAGGAAACCGCACTTTGGTGTGGAAGACCTTTGATGTTTGTGCCAAGACCATAGAGTCAGCTAACGGGACAGTCACCACCCAGCTGTGGCGCATGTTCTGTGATTCACCTTTCCTCAATGCAACCTGCGACAAATACTTTACTATGAACAACGTGACTCAGATCCAGGGAATACCCGGGATCACCAGTGGAGTCTTGAGGGGTTGGTGCAGTTGTTTTGGATTAGTTATTCTGTATGTTTTTATGTTGGACACAAATTTTGAATGAGGACACTTTTTTTGCCTGTTTTCTAAAGCTATTTTTACATTATATTATTGTTTACCTTTTTCATTTCAGAAAATTTGTTTGGAACCTACTATGAGAAAGGTGACCTGGTTTCTAAAGCTGGAGTGGATTCAGTGGAAGACGGCGATGACCCTCTGACCAATGCTAACCGCTACGTGTTAGCAGACATCACCAGCTTTTTTACCCTGCTTGTTGGCATCTACTTCCCCTCCGTGACAGGTGAGCATTGCTTTCTCAAACTGTAGCTGTATTTTTGTACCTTTGTTGTTGATTTTTAAACAGATTACGTGGTTCTTCTCATACAGTATTTATACAAGAGCTTAAAGTGCATGTGACATCAAACTTTAGTAATAAATGCAAAGGCATTTTTGGAAAGACAACATTTAGAACATTTTACTAAACAAATTTCAAGCCGCTGAGATGAACATTTGTTGAGATATTTGCATGTGAAGTAACAGGAAGTGATGTCAAAGGGGGATGTCTGCATGTGAACAATGTTACTAAAATAGCTAACAACGCAGACTCTAGAGAAGAACTGGATGTTTCTTTAAATTATTTTGAGTCACTTTCAGAGAGATGAAGAAGAGTCAGAGTTCAAATAATATTGCTTCAATAAATAAAAACCAGAGTTCCTTTTCTCAAAGAGTTCCCCTTTGATGTCACTTCCTGTTTCACTTTCGCTGAGTCAAAATCAAAAGAAAACATGACAGTTATGTGACAAAATAGGTAAAATTGTGTGTATTCTGCCAAGGTTCTTAAATATAAAGAGGCTTTCTTTGACTTTGTATTTGAAGAATATACACATCACAGACACTTTAAGTCAGTTGTTTTCTTTTGCAGCTTCTAACAGTCTGTGTTTTGTGTATAAATCTGACATCTCATCAGAGCTCTCCTCTCTCCCCTTTCTCCTCAGGAATCATGGCCGGATCCAACCGCTCTGGAGATCTGCGTGATGCCCAGAAGTCTATTCCCATTGGAACCATTGCAGCCATCACCACCACCTCCACCGTCTGTATCCTCTCACCACTGATCCCTCAAGACAGCAGGAAACATTAGAGAAACAAATCTAAAACCTAAGACTTTTAAATAAAATTCAGTACGGTGAATTTTTAGGACTAATTAAACTGTGCATAAAGTTAAACTCTGACAGGATTTTTAATGAWCAAGAACAGAAGCAGCAAAAAAAGAAAAGATCTGCATGGAGCCTTATAATTAAATGTTAACACTTTGAATTAGGAAAGGCCACTGCTGCGATGATACCAGTCTAATTTTGACACATGGTCCAAAATCTACATGTATTAATTGAGGGCTGACATTTGGTTTCAACTTTAGAATCACAAAACCAGAACTTCTGAATCAGCTTTGAAACGTTTTTTTATGAGTTGACKTTTTTCTCACTTTAAATTGTATATTTTTTGGCAGCGGTGTAAATTTTAGATGGATTACACATGCTTAAAAATAAAAGGTATGATCTACTGAAGCACTCATCTTGAAACGCTCTTGGTCCTTCTCTAAATAATCAGCTTGTAGTCTACACAAATTTAATTAGGACTTCTAATCACATTATCTGGCTGCCTATGCAAGTGTAAGTTAATAAACCTTAAGGATGTTTGTTATAATGTCACTGATCCCTGATTGATTTGTGTCCTTTCTCGGCAAAGTTAACTTGATTATCAGTAAATTAATTGCATCTTTAGTGGGAAAGGTTTCTAATTTTTCTGATTGAGTCCTGTAAAATGTGAGACACATATTAGCAATGAAAATGTCAAATTCCACTATCTATTAAAAAAATAATCATTTTAACTGCAATAATTTTATGTCCTTGATGAATAATTTCTCAGACATGTCCAGTGTGTTCCTGTTTGGAGCCTGCATCGAGGGGGTGGTCCTCAGGGACAAGTAAGTCCATCCCTGCTGCACCAAGACAGCTCTTTGTCTCCATAAATYGACTCAAACTGAGCGCTAAACGATTCCGACATGGATGCTGTTTGCAATTTGAAAATTTTACCCTTGATCCTTTTTTTTTTAGGTTTGGAGAGGGTGTTCATGGGAACTTGGTTATTGGCACATTAGCATGGCCGTCACCGTGGGTGATCGTGATTGGCTCGTTCTTCTCCACATGTGGGGCGGGGCTCCAGAGTCTGACAGGCGCTCCCCGTCTCCTGCAGGCCATCGCCAAGGATGGCATCGTGCCCGCCCTTCGGGTCAGTCTGTGTTAAACGTACTGGGACAAAAAGAAGGACTTAAAAGAGCAGTGGTAACATTTGTTTCCCCCTCTTGTGTTCATCCTTCAGATCTTTGGCCATGGAAAGGCCAATGGAGAGCCCACATGGTCCCTYCTGCTGACAGCTTGTATCTGTGAGAGCGGCATCCTCATTGCGTCTCTGGATTCTGTGGCTCCTATCCTCTCTATGTAAGAGCTAAAAAAATTATTATTGTCTTTTTTGTCAAAGAATAGTACTTTGTAAGTCCAGAACAATCAGTCCCCTGAGATGTTTTTGATTGTATTGCCAAATTTTATGGGCTTAATTTTGACCTCATCTCGTTTTTATGAAGCCCTGTTGTTATTAAAATGCATCCTGCAGGTTCTTCCTGATGTGCTACATGTTTGTGAATCTGGCCTGTGCTGTCCAGACACTGCTGAGAACTCCAAATTGGAGACCCCGCTTCAAGTTCTACCACTGGTCAGTTCATTAGTTCAGTCTTTGTGTTTMAGATCAAACCGTAGTTCCTTTACATGGATTTGCCATTTTGTACTGTTCTGCAGGACTCTGTCCTTCCTGGGGATGAGCTTGTGTCTCACTCTTATGTTCCTCTGCTCCTGGTACTATGCCATTGTCGCCATGGTGATTGCCGGCTCCATCTACAAGTATATCGAGTTTGCAGGGTGAGTGGGGCGCAACCTTGGGACAGAGTGGTGGCACTGGAGGGGAACATTTGTGCTGATTTTATGAAAAGCTGCCTTCAGTTTGGAATATTTTGAATCTGGAATATGGAAAATGCAGTATATATATAT